TAGAGTTGGATGCAAATGAATACACTATGCAAGCTGCCTTACTGATGAGCTGTCATGCTATTCTTCTCTCTCTCTCTCTCTCTCTCTTTCTTTCTCTGTCCTTGTAGTGGCAAGCTCCAGATTGCATAGGGAATCATAAATCAGCATTCTCTCCCACTTTTTCTAGCGAGCCCCCCTCAGCACCATTGATCATTTCTTGACCTTCTTGCTTATCTCACAAGCTGCAAATTACATGGCCCAATGACAGCAAATCCTGCCACTGAGAAGTGAGCAGAAGGTAGCCTTGCTACCTTCTTCTCCTTGAAGCAGTCCTTAGTATATTAACTGTCTGGATGTTTTCAAATGTCTCATTGATTGATTTATTACACAGCATGACAATGAAGGCTGCAATCCATCTGCAATGCTGACAACATTTTCTCTCTTCCAGTGAGATAAAACTGTTAGCTCTAATTGTGTATACTGCCTAGTCACTTTCATGTGTATCTCATAATGTTTTTCTTTTAACACACACACACACCAGGCAAACTGATTATTTGGCTTGTACATTTCACTTACCTCTAGTTGGCTGGGATATCAAAGCCAAACTTCCAGGTGATATCTCATTAGCACAGGCAGCTGCTATTTAGTTATGATTAGCCTTTACTGTATGATAGATCCTGTAGAGAACCTAGAGTAACTTCCTCAGAAAAACTAGATAATTCACTTTAGCAAAGCCACATTACATTACACACAGATTTACTGGATTTGCAGATTTATCCCATAACAGATGGCAATCAGAAAAAGTTTTCAGTTGTGGACAGTTTCTCAATTAGTGCTTCAGAAAAGGCAAATAATTATTTTTAATATAAGTGATGTAGCACATCAGTGCTACATCAGTTTGAAGAGACCCTTGTCCAGCAGGCCGAGGCAAAGAGGCAGTCCCGATACCAGCAAAACCAGGGAGCTGGACAGGGGACAGATTGTATTTGTCTTCAGTGTGGAAGGGATTGTCACTCTCGAATTGGCCTTCTCAGCCACACTAGACGCTGTTCCAAGACTTCCATACAGAGCACGTTACCATAGTCTCTCGAGACTGAAGGATGCCTACTACTGCAGCGAAGGTCTAGCAGAGTAAAGAATTATTATTATTATTTCATTTCCCCTGCCCCTCCAACAAAGAGGAGCAGGGGAAGTGTTCCATTTGCTGATATCCTGAAGTGGCTCGCTTATTAAAGTCACTTCATTATATCAGAAATTGACAGCAGAAGGTTCTGGGCTAAATAGGGATACTTGAGGTCTTTATGTTATTTGGATGTGAGGAAGACACCAAATGGCATATTGCACCTCCACGTAACTCAAACAACCTTATTTAGATCACTCCAGCCTCCCCTCTGTGTAGATAAGACCTGGAGTGGAAGATAAACAGATTCAATATATGCTCAAGTCAAAATTATGGGATATACTTGTAAAACTAGTAAACGTCTTTGGACTCATCCACATAGCAGTGTTGTCTCTTGTGCCTCCAGGGCTGTGCTGGGTTGTTTTCAGATTTCTGGTTACAGTTTTAAATATATCATATCAGTAGATCCCCATACTTGGGGAGGCTATTTGTTGCTGGATACACTTTGATGCAATGGTCATCCCAGTACCACCTCTCCACACACATCTGGAATTGCTATCTGACATCTCAGTACTAACACAGATTGGCCTTCACTTTTGCCTGTGTTCTCTGCCACTCCCTGCCTACTTCATTCTGTCTTCACTTTCCCTCTTCTTTTACTAGAGCATGGAGGGAGGAAGAGTGATTGGCAGAAAAACATGGATAAGAAAAGGTCATCAAATGATACACACCCACAAAGTGTATGGCTCAGCATAGAACAACACATTACTAGGGTACCACATGAGCAGCTTCTGCACTGGAACCACCTCACAGCAAAGGAGAAAGAAAACACACCACCAACCAGCAGTGATGTAAACCCCCCTCTAAAAGTATATATTTTTATTCCACATGGACTCGTTCAGCACTAGTTTCAGCCCTGCATTGTGTGAACACTAGGAAGCAGTATCAATATCATGGGTGCAAGGAAAATTGAAAAGTATGGATGGGCTCACAATGCTCCATCAATTAAATGGGAATGTACCATCATTTCTGATTTTTTATCACTTCAAACATAAGGACCCGAAAGGTTTCCAAAGAAAGTGAAAGTGCCACATAAGTAACAACAGCAGCTGTAGATTTAGTAAAGGATGAGTAGAAATTGCTTCAAAATAAAAAAGAACTGTTCTACATACAGAAAACAGAAGAATATTAAGAGACAAACTGAGGGCTCAGTCACACTGGCAATAAGAACCACAGTTGAATCAGGTTTAGCATTATTTAAATTGATTAATAAATTCCCAGGCACACAACACACGGGTGAACTTGATTTATTTGGGCTGCAAAGCAACTTTTTTTTTTTGACTGGCTGGCAGAGGCTTTTAAAAATACCTCAGTTCCTAAATTGGTTTAATTCAATTCAATGTATTTGTGAAGGCTTTCACGGCTGGGATCTAACGGTTGTTGTGGGTTTTTCAGGCTCTTTGACTTTTTTAAAAAAGTTCAGGAAGAACAACCTTCAGAACATGGCCAAAGAGCCCGAGAAACCCGCAACAACCATTAATTCAATTCGGTTTGGTAGTTGTGAATGCTGCTGTTGTTTGACTTTGTGTAGATGTGGATTTGGGGCAGCAGGGGCACCATCACTTTTCCTTTAATTTTTTTTAAAAATTCTTTACTAAAATGTATTCACGAAGGCTTTCACGGCCGGGATCTAATGGTTGATGTGGGTTTTTCAGGCTCTTTGGCTGTGTTCTGAAGGTTGTTCTTCCTAACATTTTGCCAATCTCTGTGGCTGGCATCTTCAGAGGACAGCACTCTGTGCTCTGGTGTAGTTTGCTTGGGAGCAGAGACTGGTGAAACGTTAGGAAGAACAACCTTCAGAACATGGCCAAAGAGCCCGAAAAACCCACAACAACCATCTTTATTAAAATGTTTAGTGATTCATCAGTTAGTATGGTATTGCCATATATGGATTTTTTTTCATTGTCAAGACTTTATCCCTGCATCAGTTCATCAATACATTCAGTGTTAGAACCATCTTGCCCATTCTCTCCATCTGACTGATGAAACCATATTTCGTCCCATCAGTTATCAGTTGGGGTTACCTCTGCGGTGTTTTCATGTGAATATATGACACCAGGTGGCGCCATACATGTAATGATATATCATTTTTTTTAAAGCCAGAAATTTAACTAGAGTGTATTCCTCAAATAATTTCAGTATAGCTTCCCAAACCAGTTTTAATTACCAGAAATACATTGAAGTAACTTAAGTCAAGTAAACATGCATACTGATTTACATATCATGTGACTTTACATTGATATTGAAAAAAGGTCAGGACTGGAATCAATGTAAATCAGCTGTGACCAGGCTCTGAGGTATCAACAGAATAAAGTAGTCTCTCTCTCTCTCTCTCTCTCTCTCTCTCTCTCTCTCTGTTTTGTTTCAGTTTTTTGTTTTCTGTTTTTTTTTTCATATTTTAAAAAACTCAATTTTCAGTTTCCTAAACCTGATAAGTGCTTATTGAACCCATGAATTCCAGCTGGAATGTTAAGCAGTCCAGAAAATTAGCCTTTTGTATGAAACTTATCTCTCTCCATCTTACTCCCATTTTCTCTACATATGGATCTGTGTGTATTCTCCCTCTTCTTATCATTTCAGATACTCAGCTGGCAGAGTGCCGGGAGCCACCCGAAGTGGAAGGGGCCCCTCTGTTTTCGCTGACAGAGGAAAGCTTCAAAGCCTGCCATCTGACCTTGACACTGGATGATTATCTCTTCATTGCCTTTGTGGGCTTTGTAGTCTCCATCGCTTCCGTTGCCACCAACTTCCTGCTGGGTATTACTGCCAACTGTTGCCACCGCTGGAGCAAAGCGAATGAGGATGAAGAAATATAGCCACATCGCCTGATCCTTCCAGCTCCAGTGTTGCTCACTGCCGGGGGAAGCCAAGGGCTAACATGTTCAGGGAAAGCAATAGGACTTGTCTTTTTCCCTGCTCTGCCGTTTTCTTGAGCCTTCCCCTCTCACCAGCCGCTGAACAGCAGCGCCAGACTGCACTGTCCAGACTTTCTTACTGGGGCTGCGGGAGAAGGCCAGCAAGAGTAGGGAGATCGAAGTGTGCCTTGTATAATCCTCTTCGTGCTGGAAGCAGCAAGGGAGCCATGCTCTGGAAAGTGACAGAAATGCATTGCTAGATGCTCAGACCATGCTTCATCCCTTACTTTACTCTTGTACACACACACACACACACACACACTTTCACAGTCACACACTCTCACACACAAGTACTACATACCATATGCACATGTACTTTCTGCACCATTCTCAGTCAATGCCTTGAATCCACAGCTGTAGCATCTAAACAGCCAAACACACACCAGAGCACTCATGTCACACATGACCATAGACTGACACAGACACAAAGGTCTCTGGCTTTTGAAGTTTTGAAGCTCTCCATTTTTCCAAGCATCCCATCCCATTATCACACACTGAGTTTCAATTATCATGCTTTCAGATGAAAGAACTGTATTTAAACCACCCTAACAAGTTCTCGTGTCTCACCCTTTCACTTTATTTATACATACACTGCTTGCGGTTCTATCAGAATCCTCAAAATGATTTGGGGAGGCAAAAATAATGGCCAAATAAATCCTGTTATTCCATCCCAGTTGCTAATAATTTAGCATAGCTGGTGCTACAGTTTCCACAAGTATCTGGTGCATTTGTAAGCAGCCAGTGGTGGTGGTTCTAGGTGATTTGTCAAGGAGTGTCTGATCTGAGAGTCTCAATATAAAGGGAATCATGAACTAAGCACCGCTGTAGGAGATGTCAGTGTCTCGCTCAGAAAGAAGGAGATTTTGCGCAATTTTGGGTTAGAGAGGACCGAATGGAGATAAGACCAGGATTAGGGTTGGCTAACTTCCCTTCAGAGGGTGCATTGGCTAGATTAATCAAGTGGAGGGGAAACCATGGAGAAAAACATGCTCCAATTTAATGGGAATCAAATTATATGATGTTAAATCAATATTGAATTTTTCACAGTATCTGCAACTTTGTTTTTCTTCAGCACTTTGGGGTAGATCTAAATAAGCCAGCTGGATATATATCAGCTGAATTAACCTGGTTTCCCTCAAATTCACAGAAATTGTCATTTGGTGAGGATACCAAACTTTCTTGGTTAGAGATTCCACCACCACCCCCTCCACAGAGGAAAGGAATACCCAGCTGTAAGTTTATATTGTAGTGGACATTTCCTTTCTGACTTGGCCTCAGGATGAAGAGGCTTTGTGGGGTTGTTCTGGTCTTACTCAGAGCTCTAGCAGCAGGTGGTGCTACAAGACAGAATTGGAAGCTCCAAGGCATGGCAAAAAAGTTGGAAGGTAATATAAAGCCTAGTTCTTGTGGAGGCTGTTGGCTTCCATTCATCCCAAGCCACTGAAATGAAGTAGGTTTGCACTGCAAGAAAGGGAGAATGATTTTGGCAATCCCATCTGTTAAAAAAAAAACCTTTGCTATCCCAGTGGATCCATATAACCCAGAAGGCAGTACATTTTGCAAGAACGCCCAAGAAGCCAAAGTCAAGGGAAGGAATTGCAATGTAATCTGTGTCTTCTCCAGCTCTTCCACACACTTGTCTTCAGTCTGCATCTCCAACTGCTAGAAAGAGGTATAAAATCCAGATGGCCACCACAAAGGACACTCACTGATGACAAACCATTGCTGCATTCAGGCCCACTGTCCTAACGCTGACAGTAATGAAGCCGGACTGGACATGAGGATTTGGATGCTGAACTGGCATGTTAAACTGTAGGACCAGCCATAGCCAACGTTCCCAGGAGGGGGACCATCTTATAAAGCCTATAACCATCTCCTAGAGATTCCTCTGTGTGCTGACTTTAGTTAACATATTTTGAAACTTGACAATTTTAAAACTTTTTTTTCCACAGAAATAGAAAAAGGACCAAAACAAGTTATTGAATGCTGCTGGAAGGGAGGGGCTGGGGAGAGTGAGAGGACAGAGAATTTCTATTTTTCTCACCCAGTCTCACCAAAATCAAGAAGATAGCAGGTAAAAACCTGACCTTGGAAGGGAGGATCATTTCAGAGGGCACTCATATAACCATTCCCCACCCCCATCCTGGGGTGGTGTATCTGTAACCTCTTCATGGCAAATTCTACTTGAAAGTAACCATTCCTAGACCATCCACAGCCAGACCTACCATTTGTCAGGGAGATGCAAGCTATAGCAGGGAGCATATTTCAGAGTTCATCAAGAGTGCTAAATTGTCTATTTTTCTTATTATTCCAAGGTGACAGAACCATTTCGGTTTGTAGCCTCAGGCACCAAAATGTCTTGGGCCACTGCTGAAACTATCATACTTTTATTTCCAAGGGGGAAGCCATGGTCATTTCCTCAAACAAGGAGAACAGAGAGTCTTGTGGCACCTTGAGGACTGAGAAGCTTTATTTGACATAAGCTTCCATGGACTGAGGAAGTGGACTCCATCTACAAACTGCTCATTTTTCAGATGCTACAAGACTCTTCATCATCCAGTTAGGAAGAAGCCTCAAAAGAGTAATGTATTATGCCATTCACAAAGTCACATGTTGACACAGATGTCACCACAGTGATTGGCGGGGGGGGGAGAGAGAAAATAATACTGTGATGTAGGGTGAGAGGAAGGGGATACAATGACCCTAAAAGTATGTTTTTAAACGACATTCAGAAAATATCTGGAGACCAGATGAAACAGGGCTAAAACTGTATAGGCCTTCATTTGCAAGGCAGAGTTATATAATCTCAATGTGCACATATCCTGTGTGAAATGCCCATCATGAACATCATAAAAATGCTTTAAAGATATATTTAACTGTCCCACTGCTGGTGCCATCTATACTGGAAATAAATTCAAGTGATTGCCATTCTCCTTGCCAAGGAGGGTAGAGCAATGCACCTGCGTATGTCTATATCCACAGATGTCCATGCATAGAATACCTGGTTCAATATCTCTTCTCTTATAGAAGGTATGGGCAACTTAGGCTCTCCAGACATGGTTAACCAGTAAATCTTATCCACCCTGGCTGACAAAGCCAAAAGTAAAGAATTTCGGAAGTTGCCCAGCAACATCCAGAGAGCCACAACTGCTCATCCCTACTCTATAGATACAGTAAGAACAACCTAAACCCATCATTTCAATAATCTAATTCTGAGACCTTTCAAAAAAGAAAAAGAAATACAGAAAAACGGATTTGTTCTAGAAAGTGCATACATAGAAATGATACCTAGTACTTCTTTCCCCCTTTTTATTTATATAAGAAATAATATACGATAGCCAGTGATGAATAGGTTGCTTTATTTCTTGTAGTTTTGCTTTTATGGCCTCAAAAAGAGATATTTTGTTTTCATTCCTGAGCAAGATCTGTTTGATTTCTGTGCCTCTGACACCAAGAACATAGCCAAAAAACAAACATAATTCATACATTTGGGTGCCACAAAATAACTATCTATGTGTCCTTCCTGTGTGCTTCATCTTTAGTTGTGTTTACATTGTTGGTTCTTGTTTTTAAAAGCAGCAATGTGGTTTCTTGAAAAGTGCAAAGTTGATTTGCTTCACCTAGACTGGCGAAGCAATGATCAAAAGGACATTTTTAGAATAAGAGTGGGCATTATGTGTGTCATGCAACGGTCTGTGTGATTGCCCATGACACATCCAGCTTTCAACTCAATCCATACTATAAAGCTGCTAAATGTGGGCTGCACCTGAGTGTAATAAATACAGAGTTCAGAGCGTGGACAGGAGTTTAATTATGTGCACACCTATCAGCCTACATACCATGTTCTGCACAGATTCTCTCACCCTCCAGTTGCATGAAATATATGCTGTCAAGAAACAACATCAATCCAATTTCCATGTGGTTCAGCTGTTATGGGACAGCTGTGCACCTGGTTTGCACCTTTTGGTTGATGAATACATTTGGGAGAATCTATTGGAAAGAACTTAATTTAATAATTCCATCAGTGATCCCAGATGCTGGGAGTAAATTCTCATCTATCTGCTTCTAATTAAAGATACACACCTTCTCCCGTGAGGAAAAAAATATAGAAAAACGTAAAGAGAATAAGCTCTCCCATCCCTTCTGAGCTAGTTTCATGTTGTCTTCTCCTATTGCATCTTGCATATGTCTCCAGACACAGAAATATCTGGAAGAACATGCATGTTTCTTTAAAATGTCCAGCAACAACAACCGCTGGGCATTTAGCTGAGTGAGAAGTAAAAAAATTTCAGCTTGTCAACGGAGTATAGTACCTCCAGTGTCTCCTTTAGTTTGAAATCTCTTTCTGAAGGACCCCCACATTATGAATGTAATCCATTGATCTCATGTTCAGTGCAAGAACATAAATTATGTGTGTGTTGCTGAATATCTACCATTTTCTAGTCACTATTTCTTGTGCATAGTCAATTGCTGCTGGTTCTCTCAGAGTGGATAAGTACGCATGTTGAACCACAACTCTGAACAGTCTAAGACTGAAACCATGGCTCATTCACAGTAGTCAATGAGTGAAGAAGAGCATGCATGTGTGAAGAAGCCCTTGGTCACTGGAAGGCTTGCTCTAGTCCAAGTGCTGTAGTTATAGTGACTGTGGAAGTCTTTTGTTCAGCTTTTCATATACTGTACACTTCCCATGACTACCTGGATGATTTAGGCAATTGGAGACTGATTTCTGGAGATTAGGCTAATCTGTATTATAACACCAAGCACGTTTGGGTTGAAACATCGACATTTTGTCTTGTCCATCATCTGTTTTTGAGAGATGTGATGGTGTCTTGTAAGACTATGTAAGGCTTAATGTGCCCAAACAAATTCTTAAACCCATCCCCACAAAAAACATTTTGGAACCTCTGGTGTCTAGCCCATGAAATACAGACAGGGTAAGGAGCTTCGTGAAACTAGTTGGATACTTCAGGAAACTTTTTCAGTGTCGGGTGCTTTGGAAAACCAAAAGCATCTGTCTTCTTTTTTTCAAGGAAATGTAAACCAAACTGTGTGTTCCATGAAAGCATCTGGAATAGTCATGTTATTTCAGTGTTTTAATGAACTCATATATTCAAATTACTGCAAAAAGCAGTTTTGAGGGCATACACTGTCAATAATGTTCTCTGGAGTGACGAAATCGAGATCCCAGAGACTCAAATCCTTAAATTTTGAATGCTATGAAAGTCATGATGTCCCCAGAATTTACATCCATAGGACAATTTCAGATTTGGGTAGGTAGTCACAATACAGAGGATGCTTTTTATTAAAACACTTGCTTCTCCTCTGTCAATTTCTGTTTTGTCTTACTTCTTTTGCTGAATATCTGCAATGTACATCGATTACATAGGTATAGAATCTGAGGACAGCATAACTGGCAGCCAGGGTGATTTAGGGTACTTCTAGATAGGAGGATCCTAACACTACCAGTCCAAAGACTCTGTAGCTATTATTACTTTCCTTCATATCTAATATATCTGTAACACTGTGCTTTCCAGCTGGGGGAAAGTGCATAGGTGTAGAATAAGATGGAAGAGACAGACAGCAACCTCAGTGCTTCTTCCTGCCAGCCAATGCTTTGGTTTAACCTCTTCTTCTTCTTCTTCTTCTTCTTCTTCTTCTTCTTCTTCTTCTTCTCTCTCTCTCTCTCTCTCTCTCTCTCTCTCTCTCTCTCTGTGTGTGTGTGTGTGTGTGTGTGTGTGTGTGTGCATTTATGTGTATATTTTACACATAAATTGGCCCACATCACATTGTAACAGGTTGCTTATGCCACTATAGAAGCTAGTTAAAAACTTGATTAACTATTCCCTTTAGTAACAAGTTTGCTAACAAGATGCAAGTTCATTTTACCTCTTCAACCCTGTGCTTTCCCCCAGCTTCATATATATTTTACGTAGTTCAGTGGCACTTACTGCCAGCTAATTAAGACTGTCATTTTACTTCTGAATAGACCTGCATAGAATGACATTATCAGCTACTGGAGAATGGCACAGAGCAAATGTTGCATGGTAAAAGTACTTTTGTATGCATTCATCCGTCATTGCCTGTTTCTAGGCTACTCTTGGCTCTCTCTTCTCCCTCACAATAACCAAGGGAACAAAAAGAAGTGTGTATGAAAATTTTAAATTTTTTTTTATTTTTGTGCAAGGAAATGAACATTTTAACTGAAGACAAAGAAGGTAAAGCAATATTGCTAAAATAGTTTTTTAAAAAAATATGTGCAGACACACAGAGAGAGAAAAGACCATAGGGCTGAGGTAGTAAGGGGTGCATGGAACAATCTTCCCAAGATCACCCACTCTTCGGTATCAACACAGATAATGCCAATCTGTGGTGGTATTAATTCTAGATGCAACACAGAAGAAATTCAGAGAATGAATCCTCTAACCAGCTATGGCTGGACTGAGAAACTCTGCAGAGCTGCCAGGTTTTTGTTTTTTTTAAAGATTTCTGTATTATGACAATTCTTTGGAGTCAAATGGGAAGGGAATGTAAACACCTTCTGCAAATAGATTTTATAAACTTTTGTAACTGTGAGGAATTTTTTTCATAAATGTAACACGAAAATAAAAAGTTTAACAAGGTGGAGGTGTTATTTAATGTGTGCTAAGAGAGAGAATGTGTGCTCACTGGAAGGACAGATGCTGAAGCTCAGGCTCCAATACTTTGGCCATCTCATGAGAAGAGAAAACTCCTTGGAAAAGACTTTGACGTTGGGAAACTGTGAAGGCAAGGGGAGAAGGGGACAACAGAGGACGAGATGGTTGGACAGTGTCATCGAAGCAACCAACGTGAATGTGACCAAACTCTGGGAGGTAGTGGAAGACAGGAGGGCTTCCCAGTACTGTACAGTGGTACGTTAAGTGGCTGACAACCTCACTGGTTCCCCATACTTACAACCACAGAGAGAAGTTTTATTAAGTTTATAAACAAAAATGAACAAGAGAGAAAGGATGATGAATTTATAGATATAGTGGCTGTGTATGATTATTTTCTATGCCTCTTCAATATCCTATATTCTGAAGCCAGATGTAACCAATACATGACCTCCCAAGCCAAGTGCTTCCCAGTACTGTACAGTGGTGTGTTAAGTGCCTGACAACCTCACTGGTTCCCCATACTCACAACCACAGAGAGAAGTTTTATTAAGTTTATTGGTGGACAAGGCTAGTGGAGCACGTTCAGGGTGGGTCACAAAATCAAGAAAAAAAGTATTTTAACCATCAGCTGGAGTTGCTGCAGTCCAAGCAAATCAAGCAATGTTCATTCATGCGTGTATACTGACTCAAGATACAGGCACAATATGTCTCACATGTGTTTGAGGGACCTAAAAATGAACAACACCGGATATACGATATATGAGTGTACCATCTAGCAAATGCTTCTCTGTTTATAAACAAGTGTTTCTGTGTTTCTGACTATCAATCTGTCTAGCGAACCTAGGTGTCTATAACGTAGTGCAGCGCTCTCATTTATGTACATACAACTGTTTGCGCACACTCACAGCCTTCCGTCTTTCGCAAGCAAGAGGATGTTCAAAGAAGTGAATGTCTCCAGGGATCGGGCAGATTTTCCCTTACTTCTTTGTGCCTTCCTGCTCATGCCGGGTCCCAAAAGCCAAACGGAAAGAAAAGTCCATCTATAGCAATAATGGGAGGGAAAAAACAGAAGCCACATGTAGTCTGGAGAAGGAATTAAGTGTGTTTTCTCGGGTCCTTTCTCCTAATCACACTTCCTGTTATTCTACACTACTGTTTCAAGAACACATCTCCCCTCCCAAGGAACTAGATGGTTTAGAGAGATAGCAGAATCAGGGCACTTGAGCTTTCAGTTCAGTTTAAATCCACAAAAGATCATCCAAAAACTTGATCACCTTGGTTTAATTTTGGGGTCCCATTTCCCTTTTATTATTCCCTTCAGGCATGGGATTTTCAGGGGGAGTGGCTAAAAATCCCATAATTCTCCATTTTGGGGGCTCCACCCGGCCCAGCTGTACCCACAGAAACCTAAATGTGGCTCACCTCGAGAAAAGGCCTAGCTGGGAAAGCACTGTGCCCTATCTTCCTGTTTAAAAAGGAAGGTGCCGGCTAGTAGTAGGGTAGGCATCTTCCTGAAGTGGAAACTCGGCCTATGCTTGGCAATGGAGCTTTCCCAACTAGGCCTTTTGTCCAGGTGAGCCACATTTAGGTGTTCATAGATATGGGTCTGTGAGGTAGAATTCCCAAAATGGAGGATTTGTTTTCAAAAAATATGGGAAATATTATGACTAGTTCCTTTTCACACAAAAAAAAAATTGAGGAAAATTCAGGAAAAACATGTATAAATTATTTTCTGATGCTTAGACTTTACTATGAACTTATTCACCACCATTATATAGATTTATACTCCCCTAGATTTCAAGCAGGCATTTCAAAAATTGGAACAATGAAGCATTACATCAGACTACACTGGGATAATTTTGCTGGAATATTGGAGCATTGTAGAGATGGAAATTTTTTTAATGTACAGAATCAGTGAGCAAAATGTTGTTGGCCTAAAGTTATCATTGTTGTCGTTTAGTCATTAAGTCGTGTCTGACTCTTCGTGACCCCACGGACCAGAGCATGCCAGGCCCTCCTGTCTTCCACTGCCTCCCGGAGTTGGGTCAAATTCATTCTGGTAGCTTCGATGACACTGTCCAACCATTTCATCCTCTGTTGTCCCCTTCTCCTCTTGCCTTCACATTTTCCCAACATCACGGTATTTTCCAGGGAGTCTTCTCTTCTCATGAGATGGCCAAAGTATTGGAGCCTGCGGACCTTTGTCGGCAAGGTGATGTCTCTGCTTTTTAAGATACTGTCTAGGTTTGTCATTGCTTTCCTCCCAAGAAGCAGGCGCCTTTTAATTTCGTGGCTGCTGTCACCATCTGCAGTGATCATGGAGCCCAGGAAAGTAAAATCTGTCACTGCTTGCATATCTTCCCCTTCTGTTTGCCAGGAGGTGATGGGACCAGTGGCCATGATATTACTTTGTTTTTTTTTTTTATGCTGAGCTTCAGACCATTTTTTGCGCCTTCCACTTTCACCCTCATTAAGAGGTTCTTTAATTCTTCCTCACTTTCTACCATCAGAGTGGTATGCATATCTGAGGCTGTTGATATTTCTTCCAGCCATCTTAATTCCGGCTTGTGGTTCATCCAGTCCTGCCTTTTGCATGATGTATTCTGCATATAGGTTAAATAAGTAGGGAGACAATATACAGCCTTGTTGTACTCCTTTCCCAATTTTGAACCAATCAGTTGTTCCATATCCAGTTCTAACTGTTGCTTCCTGTCCCACATATAGATTTCTCAGGAGATAGATAAGGTGGTGAGGCACTCCCATTTCTTTAAGGACTTGCCATAGTTTGCTGTGGTCCACACAGTCAAAGGCTTTTGCATAGTCAATGAAGCGGAAGTAAATGTTTTTCTGGAACTCTCTGGCTTTCTCCATAATACAGAGCATGTCAGCAATTTGGTCCCTAGTTCCTCTGCCTCTTTGGAATCCAGCTTGTACTTCTGCTAGTGCTCAATCCACATACTGCTGAATCCTACCTTGGAGGATTTTGAGTATAACCTTGCTAGCATGTGAAATGAATGCAATTGTTTGGTAGTTGGAGCATTATTTGCCACTGCCCTTCTTTGGGATTGGGATGTAGACTGATCTTTTCCAATCCTTGCAGACCAGGGGACTCTCAAGTGTTGCATCTCTACCAGGAGAGAATTCACAGCAGCCACCACAGAGAAGGCCCAGGTTCCCATTGTTCATTTCCAGACCTCCCTTGGGATGACCACTTGTAATATCATGGATTGGTGAGGTCCAGACTGGGCAAGAGGTCATTCTGAAGGAGCAATGCTCAGATAAATACCAGCATCCTAAACCCTTTATGGTTTTGAATGTCAGCATCAACACGTTGAAGTGGGCCCAGAAGCATATTGGTAGCCAGTGCAAATGCACCACAACAGGCGAGATGTGGTCATGTTTTGATGGTCCTCCTGACACTAACCTGACTACTGTGTTTTGCATTTGCTACAGCTTCTGGACCACACATTGAAGGGCAGCCCCACGTAGAGAGCATTGCAATATTCTATGCTTGAGATTATGAGCACATGATCCAGTGTTGTTCAGGGGCTTCCCACTGAGACCGTAGTAAAGGTGTGCAATCTGCCTAAGCTGAAAAAAGGCAGACTTGGCCATGGCCAAGATCTGATTCTCCATCAAAATATAAAGGGATCATCTTTGTTTTTTTCCCTTTCTCTCTCACTGCTGCTACAGTGTTAGATGGCAGCCATTAGATGGTGTCAAAAAATTTTATGACACCAGAATGCCCATAATGTACATAAATAGGTTGTACTAACTAAGAACACACACACAGTGACATTCTCCAACAATCTACTGCAGCCTCTCTAAATACTTTGAGCTAGGAGCAGCTTGTGAATCGAACTGAGCAGAGCCTCACTCCAAAATTTCAGAAGGGACACTCCAGTTCCAGTCATGAGCTATATTTCCAGCCACAGCTTCCATAATCCCTCCCCATTAACACTGATAGGAGGAAGACTTCTATGACATGTCGTGTTTTCCCCTGCAACTTATGGGTAAGTTTGAACATGTTT